AACAAGGAGACATTGAGGCTTAGAAAGCAGAAGCATTTTCCCAGGGTTAAACCATTTATAAGTGACACAGTAAGTATTTGAACCCAGAGCTATTTGGTTCCAGGATCTGAGCACTTGACCTCCAAGCCATATTGCCTTTCCTAAGCCACAATGCGCCAGCGGTTCCTTCTGATTGCAGGCTGGGGTTGGGAGGGTTGAGAGCTTACAGAGAAGGCTCTTGGAGAACTCTTTTTTAGGAAGAGGTAAGTATTTTAATAGCCCAGAAGGTATGGCATGCAGGCAGGGATGAGTATCTCTTTGGAGCCAGTGAGGAACCTGGCTCCTGAGGACACAAGGCCTTCTCTCCCAGAAGCAGCACATTTGACATTATGCAGTTTCACATTCTGTGCTCTCCATTTCTATGAACAGAGTTTCCTCTTTGAAATCCACAAGTAGCCCCAGGCCACTCTGAGAAGGAGCTCTGTGGAGTTCCCTCTTGTCCTAGAAGGAAGGAGCCTCATTTCTGCCCCCGTTTAATCTTGGAAGCCTTCCTGGGAGAGTTTAGCTTTGAGCTCTGTTTTGGAAGCAGTGAGGGAGGCAGCTGGATGAATGCTAAGTAGGACATTTTTAGTTTGAGCAGCAACTCTTGAGACGCTGCAGTGAAAATCTCAGTAAAGTCGAGAAGGCAGAAATAGTTCATATGTTGCACAGCAAAATTGCAATTCAAAATAATTTTGGTGGCTTTCAATGATGGGGCAAAATCAACATGATGACCTTTCGCAGAAACAAATGTGAACTCCCAAATGAAGGTACAAATAATCATTTATACAATTTCAGGGTGGGGTGGAGCTGACTTGAAAGCACATCATGGGAAAAGTAATTGGGGGTTTGGGTGAACATATATAAACTCGGAATAACCCAACAGTGAGATGCAGCTACTGAAAGATGTAACGTGGTCTAAAGTTGCATAAATACATGTTTATTGTGCCAGTTTAGGTTGAGGAAGGTAAAAATGACAAAATATAAAGACTGATGCAGTTATGGATGTCTCTCCTTTAAATGGATATAGATTTTGGGCTTCCAGGAATAACACTGGATTCCTCAGACCTTGCCCCAACTGTACCCCCAACCCTGGAATTTGGATTGGCCAAATTCAAGGTCATCTAATTGAGTCATGTTTTCAAGAGGTAAAACCTTCTGAAAGAATTACTATGTCCAGACACATGGGTGTGATTTTGCCCTTTTTTAAAATAAATTTCTCTTGACCAGAACTATTCCCAGCTGTCTCTTTCTCTGACTTTCTCTCTTCCTCCCCTCTCTTCCCACACGACTGATGTAGGCTCCAAGGCCACTGACCCAGCCTAAGACCTGGGACAGGAGGCCAGAACCAGTCCTACTCTGCACATAAGCACCAACAGTCTCCCTTGCTCTGTCTCTCGGTCCTTTTTCCCTGGTGCTGGTGGGTGGTATTGGATCTGTCATTTCTCTCGTTGGAGGTAAGTATCTGAGCCTCAAGTGTGGTCACTGAGAGGTCAAGGAACCAGGCAGACTTTGGGAGCTGCCCTGGTTCTGGGCTCTACACTGACTCTGGCCTGGGCCTGACAAAAGTAGTTTTCTGTTGTACTGGTCTTGCTCGGCTGAGCTCTGCACTGGGGCTTGCTCTTCTTTGCTTCATCTATGTATACTGAGTTGTGTTCCCCCCAAATCCATATTCCATATGTTGAATACCTAACTTCTAATGTGTTGATATTTAAAGATGGGATCTTGGGGTCTTTGGAAGATAACTAGGTTTAGATGAGGCCATCAGGATGGGGTCCTCAGAAGGGATAAGTGCCTTCCTATAAGAAAGACTGGAAAATTGGAGCATGTTCTCTCTCGCTCGCTCTCCCTCTCGCTCTCTCTCCCCCTTCCCCCTTCTCTCTCCCTTCCTCTCTCTCTCCCCTTCCTTCTCTCTTCTCTCTTTCTCTCTCTCTTTCTCTCCCTACACCTTCACCGCTCTCTTTCTCTACCATGTGAAGACACAGCAAACAGACAGCTGCCTGCAAGCCAGGAAGAGAGCCCTCACCAGGAACCAAATAGCCTGGCACCTTGATTTTGGACTTCCTAGCCTCCAGTAGGTGAGAAGTAAGTGTCTGTTGTTTAAGCCACTCAGTTTATAGTATTTTGCTATAGTAGCCCAAGCAAACAATTACAGAAACTTACAAAGATACGAGATTGTTTGAAGGCATGCTCTGTGTATTCTTGTCTTGCTGGCATGTTGCACCACCATAATGCCATCTCATAACATCAAGCCAGCCATTATTCTGACATTGATGGGCTGGACAGTGACCAGAGGGACATGACCAGGCAAGCGGGGGAATTGAGATTGTGGAACTTGAGAACGATTTGCGGACTAGAGCTGCTAACCTCACCTAAGAGGAGGGAAGGGCTGTGAGGAAATCTCCCCTGTGGAGTCATTCCTTGGAGTGGAAAATCAGTGGTTGGCTGCTTCCTTATACAGAGCTTTTTGGAGCGGTGCACTGCCCACCTGAGACTAGGACACGCCTAATGGCAACGTCTTCTGGGATGACGAGCCCAAGAGGGAAGTGGTAGAAGAAAGGAGAGGATTGCAAATTCTACCCTCAAGAGAGTGAAAGAAGGTGTTCATAAAGGCTTCCAGTTACTGTCTTATGAGGGGAGGCGGAGTTACAGACAAAAGATGGTGATGTGTTAGACGAAATTAAAATTCCACAACCTCATCACTTTTTGTCTCCTTGTCACCCCTGGTCAAGGAAACAGAATAACCCTTCATTTTCTCTCACGGCTGAGATATACCTCTAATGCCACAGAGGCAATTTAAGGACTTGGTTCCCATTTCCTACTAACTGAGTTTGGGCAAGAGCACGTCAGTGAGAGTGGGCAGAAACCCAGAAATGGGCAAGTGTCTCTGGAGTAGAGTAGTCGGCCGTAGTGAAAGAAAGTCTTGATATTCAGCTCCCTCATCTACTGAACCATCCTGTTGAAGGTAATCCCAGGTCGGGAGCTGGGACTGAAGGATAAAGTTCAAACAAGGCAATTTTGGGACCTCCCTGAGCAAGCCATTGCTAAACCTCACAGACACGCAGCAGTCCTGGGGGCTCTGACTTGAGGCGGTGCATTCCTTGACACTAGAAGAATTTTGAGACTGAGCAGAGATTTTTCTGCTCACTGAAAAGTTGGACCAGATACTAGAAATCCTGCAAGGTCCCTTCCAGCAATGAGCAGGGAAAAACACCCTCACAAAACCCAATACCAAACCTCAGCTTTCAGGAACAGGCATGGGAGAGGGCCCAGGAGCAGATGCACAGCTAGGATACAAATGCCAGAGAAAGATTCAATGGACTGGGACTGCTTCCGATGATCACGTTCTTTTCAACTCATCTGGAGATGATGTCATCTGATAATTGGACACTCACACATGGCCTGCTGCCTGGCTGGCCTGCTCTGCCTTCCGGGTATCTCACTGATCAGAGAAATTCATCTGCAGACGTTTTGAGCAGAAAGTCTCTGATGCAGATTTTCATTCATTCACAAACACATGCAGAGGGTCTTCTCTACTCCTGGATCTGTGCTACGTACTAAGGATGCAGAGGAAAAAAGACAGTCCCTGCCTTCAGAGAGCTCACTGTCATGGAAATGAGAGAGAGTTGGAATTCAGCTTTCATTTGGTAAATGTCGATTGAATTTGATCTCTGGGCTAGGCACTGCAGCCTTAGCAGGGACAACCAAGACATGATCTCTGCCTTGGGGAATTTACACTGGGGAGTCGGATAGCAGGCATGTCACATGTAAAGATCATGTATGTTGTGCAAAGTGCCATGAAGGAAATTTAAAAAGCAGGGGAATACAGAGTGAGAGGGATAAGGACCTGTTTTAAGACCCAGCAATCCCCTGTATATATCCAATGGATTATAAATCATTCTATTATAAAGACACATGCACACATATGTTCACTGAGGCACTGTTTACAATAGTGAAGACCGGGAACCAACCCAAATGTCCATTGATGATAGACTAGGCAAGGAAAATGTGGCACATATACACCATGGAATACTATGCAGCCATAAAAATTGATGAGCTCATGTCCTTTGTAGGGACATGGATGAATCTGGAAACCATCGCTCTCAGTAAACTGACACAAGAACAGAAAATTAAACACCACATGTTCTCACTCATAGGCAAGTGTTGAACAATGAGAATACATGAACACAGGGAGGGGAGCATCACACACTGGCTAGGGGAGGGACAGTGTGGGGTGGGGAGGTTGGGGAGGGATAATATGGGGAGAAATGCCAGATATAGGTGATGGGGGGATGGAGGCAGCAAATCACATTGCCATGTATGTACCTATGCAACAATCCTGCATGACCTACACATGTACCCCAGAACCTAAAGTTAAAAAAAAAGAACAGACAGTTGGGGAGGCCTCTCTGACAGTAAGGCAATTAGGTGTCTACCCAAAGCTCAAGATGTAGCTGGCCAAAGGAGGAGCACAGAGCTGAACATTCCAAGGAAAGTGAGTAGCTACCTTAAAGGCAGGAAAGGTCTTGGTGTGTTAAAGAGGCAGAAAGAAAATTATAGTGCCAGATGTGGAAGGCAATGGGATGAGATGGAATGGCATGAGATGAGGTTGGAAAAAAAGGCAGAAAGAAGATTCTATAGCGCTCCATGGGATTTGAAGGAGGATTTTATTCTAAGTTCAATTCAAGATCAGAATTTCCTGTTTAGGGGCTGAGACAGTGAGGATTTTTTGAAGGATCAGTGAGATGTTCAAACTCCTTAGGCTTCCAGTCACCAAGACTCTGGCACCCACCCGTGAGTCTGACCTGCCCCTCCTCTGCCCAGTCTCCTGGCTCAGGTCTGCCTTCTTTGAGGGATAGAAGGAGGTATATTCTTTGAGGACACAGAGGGGCTTGGACACTTTGGAGACTGACAAGCAAAGGTCTTTGAAGCAATAAGTAAAGGCTCAGGAGACAGACAGTGAAAAAAGAAGAGGGACTCACATGGATAAGGTCCAGGACTCTGTCTTCTGGCCTTGTTCTCTTGAAAGCCACTAATAAGGCAAATTTCTCCGTGTCTCTTTGTCTCTCTCTCCTTCTACATCTTACCTCTCCAGCCTAGGCAGAGGAGAAAGAGTCGCAGAATTTCTCCATGAAGGTTGCGTTCTTGGAAGGCCTGGGCTTTTCTGAGCCAGGGCTACTGCAATAACATTTACCACATCAATTTTGGAAAGGAAGAAGCACAGGAAGCTGGTCCAGGCAGAAGGCAGAAAACTTGGGAGCTTCTCCATTTTAATCTTTTCTTCTTTGTTTTATTTTTAAAAATCCACTTTGCAAAGATATATGGTCTCCAAGTTTCTGAAAAGGGAAGCAGCAAAGAAAACTCCTTCTGCTGTGAATGAAAAGAATTATATAAACCACAGTAAATTTAGTATGAAATTACATTGCAGCCCCAGAGGAGAAAGATTCTTTTCCATCACGTATTAGCCACGCTCAGGGATCCATTATCCTGCGTTCCCAGTCTGCTTGCACTTGAAGGGACACGGTAGCATGCAGGTTGGGCCCTTCTCAGAGGATGGAAGCTGCTGGAAGACATTAATTATTTGACCTTACTTAAGGCATTGAGTTTTTACGGAATTTCTTCCTTGTCCCAGCAAACTAGGACTTGGGGTCCTGCTGATTCTTCGGCTCCATTAGATCGGAATTTCGTCCCGTTTGGGATTTCTCACAGTTCTAACAGTTATTTGAGTCCTAGGAGGCCCATCTATTGGAAACTCCTATGACGCTTCCAGGCTGAAAGGAGGCTGCACAGTGCTTTCGCTATGGAATTTTAGTCCGAACACTGCCAGCTTCCAGCTGTGTGTCCTTGGGCAAATTACGGAACATTTCTGGGCCTGTATCCTCATCTGTAACATGATGATAATCATAGTACACCCACCCTTACCTCAAAGGGTTGTTGCAGACTTCCGGTAAGAAAATGTGTTTGTAATGCCCTCGGCACAGTGCCTGACCCCTGGCAATTTTTCAACAAAACTAGCTACTCTCATAGACAACTTGTCTTCCAATTGTTCTGGAAGCTTCTGTCATCTCCCAGTGCCAATTTTATATAAAGGATGCTGTGTGGTCTTCATAATGTGGAGTCCCAGCCAAACACGTTTCACTCATTCATTCATTTATCCAACAAACATTTATTAAGCTCTTACTATGTGCCAAGCACTAAAATCGATTCTGCTCATAAAAACATAACTAATACACCATCCTGTTAAGGGTTTATTGACATTGGATAAGACAGACATAGAAGCAACCTGGCAGGCTGGAGGAGTCCATAGCATAAACAGGCAGAAGGAACTCCTAAGGTTGGGCTTTGCTGACCCTACTACCCTTGGCTGCTTCATAGCAAAGGCAGGACTTAGAAGTAGTCGGGGCCCTTCTGTGGAGTCTTGAATAGCAGGTCGCCATAGACCTGGGACAAGACCATGGGTACCACCATGAAGGCTGGGCCCGATAAAATTCATGGCTCAACTTTACGGGGCCCATAGCTTCAGCAGGGCCAAAGTGAGGCTGAGTCCACCAGGAAAGGCCTGAGACATGGGCTCTACCCAAATCCAAAGAAAGAGGCTAGATCACACATTATACAAGGCAGGTACTTGGCTTAAAAATGCCAACAGAGCAAAAAGACCTGCCATGAGGACAAGGGTGTGCCTCTGGAGACCAAAGGGGTGGAGAACCCTGAAACTTCTTCCTCTATCATGATGTTACATAAAGCCCCCTCCTTCCTTCTTCCACCTGAGGAAGAGGACTAGGAGAACAGAGGAACAGTGTGGGAGACTGAGCAGCTTTTGTTTTGGAGACTGGCATTTCCAAAAAGGGCTATGACATTATTGGATGAGATCAAGCTCTAAACCAGTTTGGACGTTTAGTTACTTTTCCCCACCCTTCACCTCTTTTTCTGGGAAAGAATCCCAAATTCATTTTAGATAACAGAGCTCATTTTCTCTCATATATGAGTTGTAATATGATTAAATTTTGTAACCCTTCTTCCCTTATGTGTATGCTCAGCTCCCAGCACAGTGTCTAGCACAGAATCACACTTGAAAAGTGCCGTGAGCCTGCGTGCTAACAAAGAAAGTTGGGGAACAACAAGAAGCCCTAACTGGCTCTCTGCACCCCATGTCTGCAACATGTAATCAAGTCAATATGCATGCTTTGCAGAGAACACGGCCCTTGGCACATGGCCATTCCTTCCCCAATCTTGATGCCAGGACTACGCCCAGAGCCTCACTGCTCTGGCTGTGAGGAAAAGGGCAACAGGCCCATCTAAAGCTGGTGCCAGCATCCATCCCATGCCCAGGAATTTAGTTTATTTTAAATCAGCTTCCCAATGATGAACTGATTCCATGTCCTCCATAAGTCCACAGCTCAGCCACACACATACACACACACACAAAGACATATACCCAAGACAGACACACAGCTGATTTGAGATGCCTCATGGGTGTAGGAGTTTTCAGAGTGGAAATATCTTGGCCCTGGTCCCATGAAGAAGAGGAGGTGAGGGAAGAGGGAGAAATCCCTAACCTCACTCCCAGGCAAATGAGGGGCTAACATGTGGTAGCCAGGATGAATTATCCTCTTGGGAGGGGTGGAGGCAGATGGGAGAGAATAGTTTCTGGCCCCAACCAAAGAAATATTCTACGTCTCACAGGTCCCATGCTTAACTGTTTCTGGTTATGTGAGATGATCTGTGACTTCTGCTCGGTGCAGGTGGGAATCTGGGGATGAGAGGGAGCTGGGCTGTGGGAATTACGTCATAGGAGGAGGAGGGGGATGCCATGATATCACAGCCATGTGGGAACTTCCTGGGTGAGAAGTCTGGAGGAGGACTAGAGCTCAGGATCCTATTTCTGGCTTTAATAACAGCCCTGGTGGCAACCAACCACAGGCGGGTCTGTCAGGGATCAGCAGCACCTCCTCTGAGGAGCAAGGGTTTTCAATGAGGTGTTGGTGGCCTTTAAGGCCAGGGTGGGGAATGTGAGATGCATGTTTAGTAGTGAGAAGGCACAGATGCCTAACCAAAAAAAAAAAAAAAAAAAAAAAAAGGAACATGGTAGAGAAGTGCTGCTACAACAAGGCTTCAAGAAAGTTCATGAAATCCAGTTGAGGAGGCTGTGTGAGCAGAGTGTTATGGGTATGAACAGAGGCTCTGCCACCTCCCAATTTGTGTCCTTGAGAGACTGATGTAATCTCTCTGGGCCTCAGTTACGTCTTCTGTAAAATGGGGATAATAATAACACCTACCTCACAGGTTTGTGAAGATTTAAAAAATGAATACATTCTTGTAAAAAGATTAAAACCATACTTTGCATATAGTAAGTGCTCAAGAAAGTTAACTTTAAGTGGAAAGAGTACAGGAGTAGGAAGCAGAAAACTAGGTTTAACACTGATGTGCCAGTGACCAGGCGAAGGCCTTTTTGAGTCTCAGCTTTCTCATTTGTGAAAAGAGACATGGGACTAGATAATATCAACCTTCTCTCTCAGCCCCAGCGTTCTAAGACCTTGACTTGGTGTTCCTGGTCCACTATGTTCTACATTATCCTGGGCACTCCAGTGTCTAAATTTTCACCATTAGAAATATAAGCCTTTGAGGTACACAAATTCATTAGCCCTCTGCTCCCTTCTACAGAGAAAATAGGTCCTGGGGTTGATTGATGGATATTACATCAGTAATACATGGGAGTGAATTAATTCTTCCAAAAGAAATGGTCCCTGGGTAACATAAGGGCACTTGGTGTGGAGAACAGGAACAGGGCCCAGAAAGAAGGGAAATGGAGGAATCAGGCCTCTAAATTCCTAGCACACAATTTTGTCTAGGATAGGCTTGCCCTAGTGACTTTTATAAGAAAATATGAAGATAAAAGCAACTGCAGCATGAAAAATCTAGGTTAGACTCAAGTAAAATTCCAGTGAATAGAATGTGAAGGCAACCACAACTATGACTGTGATGCTGAGGAAGGTCAGGGCAATGGGCTAGATGAGTTCTGGAGGTTCTATTGACCCCCTCTGAGGCCAGCAGAAGGTTCTTCTGGGTCATCTGGGCTCCCCTGGGTGTGGACATCTGCCTGGTCCTGGCAGAGCCTGTCCTTCCTCTGCATCTCAGGAGTTCTGTGGCTTCTGGAGCAAAAGCTTCTGGCTTTCCACAGAAAGCCCAGGAAAGGAATATGTTACGTCGTGACTCAGTGATACGCTCCCTGCTGGGCACTGCAAATTGAGCTCAGAGAATGTTTGAAATGATCTTCAGTCATCAGGCAGAAATTGGAGTGACTCAGATGACAGGATTTGTGTTATGCAAGCCGGAGGCTGAGTACTCTGCAACTGACCCAGGGAGAGAAAGAGGGAGGAGAGGGGAGGTGGGCAGGAGGGGAAGGGAGAAAGATGTGGGAATTCCAGTGGCTTATCACCTGCAACCCCACAACTCTAGGCCAAGAAAAGAAACCAGTGGTAGATGTGGAGCCTGGAGCCACTCTTTGGAGGAAGAAGGGAGGCAAGGGAAGTGAGATCCTCTTGTGTATTCTTGGTTTCTCATAGCTGAAAAGAAATCCAGTGTAGCAAATTGGTTTTCCCACACCCAACTGCTGCCCTCCCACAGTGTGGCACAGGCCCCTATCTGACTGGTGAAGATCTGTCCTGCACCAAGATACCTCAAAAAGGACAACGACGGAGAAGGAGCCACATAATCATTCATTCATTTAGTCATTAATGTGCTCCACATTTTTTGAAATTCTACCAAATGCCAGAGGCTGTGCTAGGTGTTAAGATACACTAAGAAATGAGACACTGTCCCTACAGAGAATCTGGATGAGAGAACCAATAGTCACAATGCTATAGTGCCAAGTGGCATGACAGAAGGAGGCAGCAGGTGCTGGGGAAGCACAGATGTGGAGCCCCTAAGTCAGAGTCTGGGGTTGGGTGCAACAGTGCTGTTCAGAATCTTGAAGGAGAGCAGGAGTAAGCAGGTGGGCAAGGGGGCTGTGAGAGAGCCTTTAGGGCATACGGAACACAGTGAAAGGGGTAGAGATGTGGAAGATCACAATGTGTATGGGGAATGGGACCCACGAGGTACAGGTGGGGTGGTGGGCAGTGGAAGCTAGGAAGTCACACACACGTGTGTGTGCCATGTTATGGGAGGAGAGGGCTTGGGCAGCAGAGGGATGAACAGTGCTGCTCTTTAAGAGAAGGCTCTGCTACACTGTGGAGGACAGAGGGGAGAGGGCGGTCTGGGTGCCAGATTCCCCAGGGTCTGCAAGGGAGGAGCTGAACCAGGGAGGCAGCAACAGAAAGACTGGGATGGAGTCGAGAGATCTATGGGAGAGGACAGGACCTGGGACTCACTGG